TTCTGGGATGACTCCCCAGCATCGGAAGAACAGGCTTTCCCTCGCTACTTTTCACCGTACTCCTCACAGTTCAGCAGCCCTGTGAGTGGGACCGATGCGCAACCACAGAATCACCAATGGCCTCAGACGCAGACTACGTCTGTGACTCCACGCAGCATAGGGCTGGCATTCGCAGGGGACTCGCCTGTGTACGGCGACTCCAAGGGCAAACAACCAGAGGAGGCATATGAGATGCATCATGTGGATAGCAGGCACAACAACAACAAATCAAATCTCAGTAACGAGGTCGGCGGCTACGGCTTTCCAGCGGAGGCAACAATCCCCTCCGCGGATCAACAACAAATACACCACTCACATGGGAGACGGTACAGCGGGTCTTACCGGAATTTCTCAGGAAACAGGGGGACACAGACATAGCGATACGAACTGATAATTGGATAAGTGATGGACTTTGATTGGGTGCTAGGAGTTGGGTGGTAGTAATGTCGTCTTTTGTATAATTCCCTAGCTTCATCGCAGCGCTCGTTTGGAACATGGCAAGCGAGGGTACCTTTATCCAAGGGCTGCGGGTTTAGTCAACCAATGTACATACATGTTTATATGCAACTACCGTTTGCAATATCTCTGTTTTGGGATTAGCATTTAAGGTTGCGATTCTCAAAGTTAATGAGTCTATTTTACGATACCTAATCAAGCTAATTATGACTACCTCAGTCAGAATTCAACTTACCGCCTAGCGAGCTCTATCCCATCTTATGTCCAAAAGGCCTACATCCCTTTTTAATTACATTCCTTCAAAAGTACCTCTTCAAGGTCAATTGCAAATTGTCTGCATTTTCTTTCCTTTGATGCCCGTTCTGTTGAGGCTACCTACCCGGGAGCGTCTTTACCACAACGATACTTCGGGGCTAAAATCAGGGGAACGAACGTTTTCAGTTGAAGATGAACGAAGTGAAGTTTAAGTGTTCGCATGGCCGGGTTCGTAAGAGATTAAGGTACTTTTTAGGGTTTTCGACTAATGGGCAAGGTAAATACACTGTAATGGTCCCTTCTAGTCAAGACGATCATCCCAAGAAACTTCGGGTGTGTACAGGATATCAGCAGTGGCCTACTTTCTAAATTGGGGTTTTGCTCCGTGGTATATGTCGACACAGAGTAAATACCGAGGTAGTTTAGATTCAGATAGAAGCAGATAGTCGTTGCGTACTGGGGTTGCGACACAATGCGCCTGAGTAACCCGATTACTCTTGATAGGAACCACCCGTGACGCCCTACCTGTCCGGAATACGATGTATCACATGGACACTACACTCGTGAGTGCCATGAGTTCCATGTAATCCAGCCAATAGTATCTATCTACATACACCGTGGGCAATCATACACTTCTTAAGTATTGGGCCAGGCTGAGTTGCGATTTGCGATTTGATTTGCAATTGGCAAGAATTGCCTGTGTAAATTTTAGCAGCTTTGCTCTGAAAGGTTACTTATGGCTTTCTGATATATAGCAGGACCTGTATCTGCAATCGTCTCAATGATGAGAGGATTAGCTTGGACAGTCCGATGATACTGCCTGAGATTGAATAGGATCTTCATTTGCGCGACTGACCGCCTTGGGTGGGCCGCTATGTGTGGCTTGGGAGCTGTGGCGTTTGAGAGAGAAGGCCAAAATATCGAGTTGAACCCCCCACTTTTATAACCAGCCACATCTCCTACTCGTGGACGAAGCTTTTGACCCACTCACAGAAAAAAAAAATTTGGAAGCTGTTCCATCGGCAAAACATCACCACCGACCGCAGGAAAATTCATCTTGTAACTTGCCTTCCCGACGCAATTGTCTTTTCGAGAGTGGCTCCCGACGGTCGGTTACATTATCAAAGAGAAATCAAACCGCGGAAATGACCATGGACGTGGTTTCCAAGCAGGAGGATGAGCACATCATCAAGCCACAGGCCGTGACACCTGCCATTGACACGAGCTCGTGGCCTCTCCTCCTCAAGAACTATGAAAAGCGTGAGTCTGAATCGCTCGCGGGATGGTATATTTGGATCAGCCGTAGAGAATACTGACACATTGGCCCCTAGTTCTCGTGCGAACCGGCCACTTCACCCCAATCCCCAATGGCTGCTCGCCTCTGAAGCGCGACCTCAAGTCGTACATCAGCTCTGGTGTTATCAATCTCGACAAGCCTTCAAACCCTTCCAGCCACGAGGTTGTGTCCTGGGTTAAGCGCATCCTTCGGTTCGTTCCACCGCGTGATATTCTTATTGCTTCTGGTTGCATTTTTTTCTGACTGCGATGGGTTCTGTAGAGTTGAGAAGACCGGCCACAGCGGTACCCTCGACCCCAAGGTCACCGGATGCCTGATTGTTTGCATCGACCGTGCCACTCGACTGGTCAAGTCCCAGCAGGGAGCCGGAAAGGAGTACGTGTGCGTCATCCGCCTGCACGACAAGTTGCCCGGCGGCCAGCCTCAGTTCGCCAAGGCCCTCGAGACCCTGTCCGGTGCTCTCTTCCAGCGCCCCCCCCTGATCTCCGCTGTCAAGCGTCAGCTTCGAATCCGAACAATCTACGAGAGCAAGCTCATTGAGTTCGACAATGACCGCCACCTCGGTGTCTTCTGGGTCAGCTGTGAGGCCGGAACCTACATCCGTACCCTTTGCGTACATCTTGGTCTCCTCCTTGGTGTCGGCGCTCACATGCAGGAGCTGCGACGTGTGCGCTCCGGTGCCATGGACGAGAACAAGCACCTGGTTACTCTGCACGATGTGCTCGACGCACAATGGACGATGGACAACACTCGCGACGAGTCCTACCTCCGAAGAGTCATTTCTCCTCTGGAGACTCTCCTTACCGGCTACAAGCGCCTGGTTGTCAAGGACAGCGCTGTCAACGCTGTGTGCTACGGTGCTAAGCTTATGCTTCCAGGTCTCCTCCGATACGGTAAGCGCCCACTATTGAATTTGAGATGTTCCTTCTGACAGGCTTGGCTAACAACGTTCTACAGAATCGGGCATTGAGCACCAGGAGGAGGTTGTGTTGATGACCACTAAGGGCGAAGCTATCGCATTGGGTGTCGCACAAATGTCTACGGTTGAGATGTCAACGTGCGACCACGGCGTCGTTGCCAAGGTCAAGCGATGCATCATGGAGCGCGACCTGTACCCCCGCAGATGGGGCCTTGGACCTGTCGCCCAGGAGAAGAAGAAGCTCAAGGCTGATGGCAAGCTCGACAAGTTCGGACGACCCAACGACGCCACTCCTTCCAAGTGGACTTCAGAGTACCAGGATTTCAGCGCCTCAGATGCTGCTGCCGCCGCCGCTGCCGCCATCCCTCAGAAGCCAGTTGAGGCGGTCAAGGAGGAGGCCAAGGAGGAGCCCAGCACCCCTGCTGCTGATGATAGCGACAAGAAGAAGCGCAAGAAGCACGAGGGCGAGACACCTGATGAGAAGGCTGAGCGCAAGCGTCGGAAGGCCGAGAAAAAGGCCGCCAAGGCCGCAAAGAAGGCTGCCAAGGGCGAGGCCGACGACGAGGACAGCGACTAAGTGCAGGGAAAAGAGGGTGCCTGGATGCCTCCAAGGTTTTACCATTGATGGACTAGCAAAGTCAAACGGATCTCAGCCGCATTGTTTGCCTAGGAGAGCCTCCTCCGCTCTTGCTGTACCATTAAAAAAGGCTGGCTTTTACATGTTGGGATATGGCGTTGTTGGATTTCGATTTTTTGCTTCCGCATATCTTGGCTTGATTTTCAACGTTTTCAGACAAACCTTAGTATCTTGTTATTAGGAGTAGACGAGGCTGATATCTGAAAGAAATATTTGACCTGAAGAACATCCTGTACCGAGAACGACCGTTACTCGTGAGACTGTCTATCGTCTTGTAAGACTTGAACGCATACTGCCAATAAGCTACATATACATGGGATCAGAGATACCAGGGCAATTCGGAATGTTACTGAAGCGGTGGTGCACTGCAAACTACCTCCGCGCCTAATGCTCCGGACAATATCTGGGGCGTACCAAAGCTGCGGTAACGTGGCCGGAAGTGGTGATGAGTGGGAAGAGGCTTTTGAGCAAATGACCGCTTTGGTCTCGCCAAGAGCAGAAGGTGAGACAAGGCTCAGCGTTCCTCCGGGGCAGAAAGGCAAGGAGACTGACTGACACGGTGCGGATGTTTTGTATCCACACCAGTTCGTGCCGGAACGAGGTCCCCTTGAACCTTGACGGGCGGCAATCGGCAAGTCGATCTCTCAATGCGGTGCGGCGCCAGTCACACTTCAATGGCGCGGTTTGCCCCTTACGGTGTCTTGATAGACACTCATCCAGCCGTCTGGCTGGGACTATTCTTGTCGGATGAAGCTTACCCCTCCTCCAAGGTTGAGCAAGTGAGACAGGAGCTGCCACATCCGGACTTTGGGTTCCTGTTTTTTGAACTTGTTCCTGATCTAATTCACGGTGTGGGATTGGCGATCTGCCTTGCCCCTCTAATGATGCTCGGCGGGAGAAACACCAGGCAAAGGATAGCCCACCTTGGGACCCGTATCTCACAGACTCACGGACTCGTGGGCTCTTGGCTCTTGTCGTCTGCCAGAGATCATCCTTGCTTGAGTGTGCCTCAGTGTCTTGTCTTTGTCTTGTCTCGAGCTCGGATTCGTTCCCATTTCACAGGGCCATGGACTTGTTGAGCACTTCGCATGCGTCTTGGAAAACACGCGCAAAGGGGAAATTTGAACAAGATTGTCCTGCAGGGGACAGGGTGGGGTCCTTCACCAAACCAGCGTCGTCGTGCTCCTTTATTGCATTCCTGTGTCTTTGGTCAACGTGAGCTAAGGCATGGCACGGAGTCGGAAACATGATGGGCTCCCAAGAGGATAAAGACCCGACCATGGTACCGCCATGGGAGTGAAAGAGGGGACGTACTTGGCTTGTCCAGCAACCTCTTTACTCTCCTTCTTGGCACAAGCCTTATCCCATCCTTTCCCAAGCCGCATTATCTTGACAAGATGGTGGCCGTCCTCTCTGCCCTTCTGGGCTTCTTATATCTATCAGCTTGCGCCTCAAGCAACCCTCTCTTACCTAGAGGAGGGCGTTCACTCAACCTCAATGTCGTCGACAATGGCGGCCTTGGTTGGAGAATGCCATTCGACTTTCCGGATCCCTCTGTGATCCGGGGCCGGGATGGTAGATGGTATGCCTTCGCAACTGAAGGCAACGGCAGGCCTATCCAGGTGGCATACGCAGATGATTGCTTCGGGCAATGGCATCTGCTGGACCACAACCCCCTCGAGCACAGCTCATGGACAAGCGGCCGCAACACCTGGGCCCCAGATGTCCGGGAACTCAATGATGGCAGCTACATCATGTACTTCACCGGGGAGGTGCCAAACAGCCACCGCCACTGCATCGGCATTGCCCGCTCCTGGGACATCCTGGGCCCTTATCGGCCTGACCCAAGCCCCTGGATTTGCCCTTGGGACCAAGGAGGAGCCATCGATGCGTCTGGCTTCGTTGACCCCGGCTCTGGGGATCGATACGTCGTCTACAAGGTCGATGGCAACTCCCGCGGAGCCCCCACGCCCTGCGGCACTGGCGTCGATGACCCCAACATGCGCACGCCCATCATGCTCCAGAGGGTCGGGTCAGACGGCTCGACCAAGCTGGGAGGTCCCATCGAGATCCTGAACCGCGTGCCTCATCTGGACGGCGCCCTGGTCGAGGCGCCGAACCTGTCGCGCCGCCGGGACGGTACCTACGTGCTCTTCTACAGCAGCCACTGCTTCCAGGACCCCAGGTACGACGTCAAGTACGCCTACAGCGACAGGATCGAGGGCCCCTACACCCGCGCGGGGGGCCCTCTGCTGCGAGCTCCGTACTATGGCCTCCGTGCCCCTGGCGGAGCGACGAGCAGCGTCGATGAGCATGGCCACGAGTTCCTGGTCTTCCACGGCGATTGCGGGGACTCTCGACGGTGTCTGTACTCGGCACAGTACTATTAGCCGGAGCCTTGGCCGCTGTCACTTCATCCCTTTTTTTCTTCTTGTCATCATGTGTTTTAGTCCTGAGTCGGGGCAGTGGGTGGGTTGTGCTGAGTCTAGCATAGACCGCTCGTTGTGCTTTGACACACCGCTTGGGCTCAGGATGGTATAATTGATTTTGTATATATCTGGATGAGTAGGATATTATTGCCTGCCTAGTAGTAATAATGATAATCATTTGTTCCCACCAAAGCGACGTTGAGCTGAGACACGGTCCGTTGCCTGCCTGGAAGAAAGTCAACGGACTTAGTTTGTCAGTGAGTGAAAAGTGGAACCTCAGACACAGTGTCTACAGTGCGAAAAATAGAACTTACACTGGGAACATGTCACTTGTATCACCATCTCACTCAATTGACTCTATTTCTTGCTCACCGTCAAGGGTGCGATGATCCGGTGTGGGCTAGACAACTTACACGCAGGAGGAATAGGTATTTTCCCTGAATGATTTAGTGTGAGCACGTAGCGGAGAAACTGATGCCATCGTCTTCTAACCTGATCCGCTAGATATCTCGCGCACATCGAATTACCAAGCAATCAAACTACCTTGACTACTTAGCTTCCACCGCCCCCGGGTCTCTGACAGGTCTATTTTACTATAGCCATTCGCTCATTTGAATCTAGAAGCCATGGCCGGCCCTAGTTAGTACATGATCTGCCACGCAGCCCCGCATTCGGCCGCTTTTCCAGACCGCTTCCTATCGAATGAGACTGACCACCTTGCGGTTAGGAACCAAGGCTGATATCGAGGGCATCTTGAATAAACTCGACATAGCGGACGAGGGCAAACTCGGAAGCGCAGGTGAGTCGTCCTAATATGCCTGCCGCAGATTCCTGCTCCTTTGGGCTCTAGCTGCTGTCTTGAAACGTTCACCTGATCGGGTCTGATCTGCGTCAACTTAGAACTCCAGCAGCTGTTGACTCAGCTCCACACATCTACGAGGTCTCTCAGTGACGACGCCCTGCAGTCGCTGTTCTCGAGACGGGGGGTGCGTATCTTGGGTCAATATGCATTTCAAGATACAGCAAAGCCGGAGCACCTGCCTGCTCTACGGTGCCTGAACAATGTTCTCGTGAGGTCAAGCCAATCGCGTCTGTTTCTGTCATCAGAGATTGGAGCAGACAAAATCGCGAGCCTTTTCAAGGTACACATCTCCCTACGCATTTTTTTGTTCATTCAGTGAGAGGCGCACATCTTCTGACAGCCCTTTGTCTATCTAGCGGCAAGACCCCGAGGATGATTTGGCTTTGTCAAACATCGTTATTTTCTCATGCCATGGAAACAGCCTTGATTTAACAGAGGTCCTCGAAAAAGATGGGCTTGCCACCAACGTCAACGCTGTGAGTTTCTCTTTCCTCGTGATTTATATTTAGTTTTTCACAACTCCGAATCTAACTGCCGAGATCGATACTGCGTGATAGATGACTGCTCGTTATGCGAAATCTGGGCCCTTTCCCACCGCAGAACTTACATCTCCTTCCGCAGCCAGTTTGAGGCTCCTTGCATCACTCGCTTCGCGGTATGAGTCGCAAGCGCACCTCTTCCTCGACTCGGTGGATCATGTGCTGGACATGCTGGCCAAGGTGACGGTCGGCTCGCCCCCTCTCGAACTTCCAGTCTCTCTGTTTGTCAACTGTCTGCCCGTCCTCCCTGTCCAGGAGAAGACCGAGATCTCCGTCGAGGCAATCGGTAAACTCGTTGAGATTCTGCAGGCATCTGTGGCTTCATATGCGACCCAAGAGGATGGCAAGGAAATCTTGCCCCTCCTGTTTGGCCTCCGCCGCATCGCCCAGTCCGAGGCTACCGAGGCAAAGACTCACTTGAAGGCCAGCATCATACCTACAGACGAGGACCGCCATGAGGCCCTTGGAAAAGGTCAAACACTGCCGCACAAGATACTGAACCTGTCGAGTGAATCCGTGTACCCCGAGGTCCGTGAAGTCATCATGTCCTTGTTTTTCGAACTGTCAGATAAAGATCCGTCACTATTTGTGCACAACGTCGGGTTTGGCAACGCTGCCGGCTATCTTTCCTCTCAGGGAATTGAAATCTCACAGAAGGATCTCGGAGCAGGGGCCTCAAATGCCCATATCAACCCCATCACAGGACAAAGGATCGACTCTGAGCCAGACACTGTCTTGCCAGAGATGACAGACGAGGAGAAGGAGCGCGAGGCAGAGCGTCTTTTTGTCTTGTTTGAACGGTATACATCCCCCCCTCTCAATTACTGAAACGATTCTCTTTCATCCAAGAGTAAAAGGTCGTGAACCGAACAGATTACTAACACTGCCTTTTAGATTGAGAGCAACGGGCATAGTTGATGTCGAGAACCCGGTCGTAACAGCAGCGAGGGAGGGGAGGATAGAAGAACTACCATCTGACGATGACGAGGAGGAGGAAAAGAAAGATGCCAAGGGGAAATAAGGCGAGCTCCAAAATAGTTGCTGACTTGCTCAAACACGTCTCGTCCTTGTTAGGGGTGTTATCATAGGAAGTGAATTATGTGTTTTATGTCTATACTTTCAGAATTACTAGATATATAGGCGATATAGCCACCCCATTCAGGCTGCAGATCTCATAATTTTGCCACAGGCGTAATTTTCCCCAATATTGCCCATTACATATACTAACACAATGATCCTCCCACTTTCCATTAACCCAGCGCGCCAAGCAAAGCCCCTCGATCTATAGCTTGCCCTTGAGCAGGTTCCCAATCATCTCCCTGCCGGTGATCCTCGTCGTCTTCCAGAGGGTCGGGATGTCGAGCGTGCTGGACAAGCCATCGGCAAACCCGAAGAAGAGCATGGGCGGGATCCAGCCGCGCGCGTACTCGAGGGCGAAGCAGCTCTCGGGCATCTTGTACTGCTTGACGTCGCCGCGGCGCAGGTGGTGCACGCTGCCCTGGGGGTAGACCTCGGGCTCGTACTCCCCCGGGACGTAGGCCAGCTGCACGCCCGAGAGGATGTGGAAGTAGTCGTCGGCGGTGTGGCGGCCCGTGTGGCCCTCGGTGCCGACGGCGGTGCCAAAGACGATGAGGTACTCGGTGACGCCTTGTTGTATGTTAATTTCAAGTTTCTAGTTGGCTGGAAGTAAAAGACGGGAAGAGGGTAAGAGATTGGGACGTACTGGCGTGGATGATGTACATGGCGCCCATGGCACCGCCGGCGTTGTTGAAGACCCAGTCCTCCTCGAGGTTGACGTGCGCGGGCGACCTCTCGTTGAGCTCGGAGACGATGTAGGACACGACTTCGCGCGTGTTGTTGCCGTGGGCGGCGATGGCGCGCTTGGACACGTCGCCCAGGTGGTCAATGTCGAAGATGTAGAACTTGTCGAGGTTCTGCTCGACCAGCCAGACGACGGCCGAGAGCAGGCCGGTCATGACGGCGAAGATGGCCAGCAGGCGGCTGAGACCACCGCCGGCAGCGGCGGGCTGTGAACATGGTCAGTTTTTAACACACACAACTCTGTAGTGTATATAGAGGACGAAGAGGAATAAGAAAACCAAGCGTTGGTAATGGAATCAGGGCAATTGGTGAATGATTGTCTCATGGCCTGCCGAACAGGCTCTGAAGTAGCAAATACTTTGAATTTTGCAATACATCATTTGATACCACGCTGGGGGGAATTCAAGAGAAAGAGTAATCTCACCTTCGACTTCGACTTCGACTTGGGTGGCATTGCGTCCTAGAGATGGCACGAAAACACGAAAAACAGATGAAAAGGCGTTCCAAGAAAAGAAAAGGGAGGAAAATTTATAAAGAGGGACGACAGCAATGGATGCCAACCAGACCCGATAATCTCCTGGATCCGGGGCGGGACGCGACATGGGGAAGACCAAAAGACCCTGGACTCTGGTTCAGGGACCGGTTATTTTGCCTTGTCTCACCGCTCGGGACCCGAGAAGGCCGAATTGGCCGATCGTAGATCATAAGCGCTATCTCATTCACTTATAATTCACTGCAACATTATTAGTTTCAACATGATCTGATCCGATGGCCTCTTGGGATGCCGTGATTTGAAGCATAAAGTTAGTACGTCTAGTGCTTGAGAACGTTGGCCGTACACGCAACTTAAGCTTGCGGATACCATCACATGTGGAGTCGTGTCTACGGGCAATCTTGGGAAGCTCACCGGCAGCTTGTCTAAAAGACAGACATTGAGAAGCAGCCAACTATTGAGCTATGTAAATACTAAATAACCACCTTTAACGGGAGGTATTATTAAGTAGGGGAGATAGTACGATCACCAGAAATGATTGGCTGGTGCGTTTTCGTTGATGGCTGAAGGCGTCTCACCACTCTTCGCTGCATGATCGGATTATGGCAGCTGAGCATCGGGTCCTGCGGCTTGTGCTACGAATATCACGCCCAAAGCCTTTCAATTTTGGGAGGTAAATGATCACCCCTCTTTTGATGTTGCGTGCCCTGAGGACTATACCTCTAGTGTTAGATGTCGGCGACAGACTTCACTGGCGAAAACAAGCACTTGACGCCAAATCAAAACATGACTATGACAAAATAGATTGAAAAAAGAACGCTAAACGATGATCCCGTGCTAAACCAACTGTGAACCGCCATGCCCTGTCTGGTCCCGTGTAACACTATGCCTATGCTAATGATGATGATATCTCCTGCTTGATTGCTTAACCCGTATCGTCCCCCGGAAACTCCAAACCAGTGATAGTGCGGCGATGTTCGCCAATGATTGAGAAAACCCCACCTCTCGGCCTATTTCTTCGGGAAGATCCTTTTCGTGCCACCGACTTTGCCCAGCTCGCCGAATCTATTTTTACTGTAATCGTCCTGTGCAGACACTCTCCTTTCGCCGCTCGCCAGCCTGACCTTTTCTTTCACGCTCTCTACCCAGGCCTTGCTCTCTTCGCTCATCTCCACCTTCTTTCCGTTGGGTCCGGCAAGCCCCAGGAACGAGCTGTCTTCCTCGCGCCAGCTCATGCGTGAGTTCGTCATGGAGCGGTTGAATGAATCATCAGTAACCGCACTCTCGTCAAATCTCCTCGACGCCAGGCCAGGGGTGGATTGACGAAGTCGTGGCGCCTCGCTGGTGGTCGACCCCACGCTCCTACGTGTCTTGCGCACAGCCAACGGTGACATGGGCGCTTCAAGAGCTGAAGCGGAGCGAGAAGCGGAGCGAGAAGGTGGGCTTGATCCGATATCTGGTCCACGGCTCGCCGCCCGGGGAAGATCTTGTATTTCCACCTTTGTATTCTCTGTCACAACAGAGCGGCGGCCATGGTGGCTGGCGTATTGGTTCAAATACTCGCTCAGGTCAGCCCATCCACCACCGACGCGGACCATGACCCGTTCACCACTTTCACCAACACACCGAATGGAGAGCTTAATGGGAGCTTCTCCAGTAGATCTTGCGAGGTGATAGACCTTGATATCCTGGCCTTTTGACTGCCTCGGCCTGGTAGTCTTGGCGGGAGACAGTGTAAAGGATGGTGTAACATTTCGAGACAAGGCTGTTCGTGATGAAAGGCTTGACCTCGACCTGTTAAATGGCTCCTTGGATGGCTTCTTCCTCAGCTTGGGAAGCTGGAGGTCAGGGGGGTTTAGGTTGATGGGAGGTTTCTCTGTCAGCTTTATCTTTGCCGGGATGCGGTCGATGATCTGGCTGATCTGTTGATGAAGGTGCTGAGCCCCTAGACTCTCTCGCCGCATGATTGGGCTTGCTGCCTCGGATACTGAATACGAATCATCAAAGAAGCTTTCCGAAAAGGAGCCCTCAATAGGGGTCCTTGGCTGCATTGAATCATCATAGTTGTCGTATTCGTCTAACCTGGAATCGTCAAGAGGCAAATCGGGTATTTTTCTTGAGCTTGTTTTCGGAGCCGGCGGTGAGCTAGGCGGGCTGGCCTCGATATATTCCGCCTCGCGGACACGAGACTTGGCAACCCCGGGCGATGCAGAAACCTCCGGAAAGTCGCTTGACATGCCATCGAAACGCATCGAGGTATCGTGCAAGACTGTCGATTCCATAGACGAGACGCTATCGCGTCTTGTCTCATTCCGGAGTGGCGGCAATTCTAACTCTTCGTCCTCTTCCTCGCAAACACTAAGGAGTCCTTCGTCGAGTTCATCAAACTCGGGGTCCACAAACCACTCTGAAGGACCCGAGGGCTGCGGATGAGGAAGCTCATCGCTATCATGATCCACTTCTACATTTTCGACGCTGGTGGACGCATGCAGTGAGGGAGCCAATGGAGCAGTTGGTCTTTCCGTGTCTGCCGCATCCGAGGCAGTTGTAGCCGCAGTATCGGCGGCAAGTTTTTGGGAGGGCTGAGGTGCCAGGCCATCACGAACGCCATCTAAGCCTAACCGTAATCCCAGCCCAAGTCCAACTTCCTCTTCGGGCGGCTGAATCTTGACTGTTGGGCTAAGAACATGATTGCCAGCATTTTGCGGCGAGTCTGCGGTGACATCCCCTGAATTGCTGGCCTCTGGCGAGTTGGACGTATCTAGAGGCTGATGAGAGAGTCTTGAAGCTCTGGGTAGCTCAGAGGGCACCTCTAAGCTATCCTTGTGAGGAACAGACGAAGAGGCCTGTTCGTCAACTACAGGGAGCGCCGGAGTTTTGTCAAGGAGGCTGGTATCTGCTGTCCGGGAGGACGCTTCCTGCTCTACCAGATGGCGGGATGGCCGCTCGACAAGGCCCCATTCACTCTCCTGAATCCTGCGCTCACAAGCCACGACCCAATCGCCGTATCCTTGCTCAAGGTCCTCCATGCGATCGAGCCACTCTTCAGGCAGCGTATCCGGCATACCCTCCAAACGATCCAACATATAATCCAATGTCGAACCTGGTTTTGTGATTTTCTTCTCCACCACGACCTTCATAACATTGAAATCGGATCGCGTCAAGCTGGGACCTCCGGGGTTGCCACCACCCTCCAAAGGCGAGTTTGATGGCGGCGCAATGACATTCCATCCTGAACTTAAAGCGGCCTCAGCGTCTTCCAAGTCTAGCAAAAGCCCTGGTATTCTGTGAAGAACCGCGAGCCGGATAGTCCAGAGCCGAAGAAGTTGGTTCAGCCGGGCCAGGATTGGAAGCGTTTGTACCACAATAGCTGTAACCACCGCGGTGAGATCTTCCATCTTGATATAACTCGACATTGTTGAGAACCCGGAACGAATAGATGCTGGAGTTGTGGGCCTCGATAGCGGCATGATGTGGTTGTTCATGACATGACTCTTCAACTCGTCCACGGACAAAGTCTCGAGCTCATATTGGATCACCTCAATTCTCTCCTCGTATCGCGCGATATCGTCCGCTCGGACACATCCGATGTATTCTTGACCTGCAGGCTCCGCGTCAGACCTCTTCAGAAAGTCCAGTTTCCGCCTCGCGCTCGAGACCTCAAATCCCGCTGGCCCAGCCGGGTTCGGCCAAAACCAATCCTTCAGCTCACGGGTCCATTCCCAAATCTTCTTGAATGAGATTGCCGTCTGCATAGCAAACTCGCACTCCGCGTTGGAAGCGCCATCTAAACAGGCCTTCAGCGGCCCCGTAGGCGATGCCAGCGCATCCACCACGGTGGCAGGAGAAATGTGTAAGAGGATATCGTTGGAGGGCCGCAGTAGTTTCGAAGGCGACTGGCCTCCGGAGGGGATCCTCGCGGGGCGGAGGATCGGTGGAGGATCGTTCATCGTCACTGTTCGACGCGGCTCGGGGGTGCAAGGTTGATATCGCTAAGCCTTACTCCATCCCGTTGAATGGAGCGAAAGAGATGTCATTGGGGAAAAGAGTCACATTCGATGCTCATAGTCGATGGAGGAGAATGTCGGTCAGAGGGGACATGCCAGCGTGTTGGCAGAGGTCGGGCGGTCAGAGAAAACTCAGGAGATGATGGATTTGGCCGGATGAAGGAGGAAGCTGGTCGGGTTAGGCAGAGACAGTCTTGGCCAGCAAGTAAATACTAGCCAGCCTCCTTCTCATCGGCTGCAGGTGTCGCGTGGTGAGGAAGAGAACAACGGGCAAAGACGGCAGCGCAAAGCATACATACAGCAGAGATGCAGTCAATGCGCGCTGAAACAGGGAATACGGGTGTTAGGCTGAAGCAGAACAAAGTAGTGAAACAGGTGTTGGACAAAAGAACGTAAGCCAGAAACTCGGTTGGCGGAACTAGACAAGTGCAAGAAATGAAATCGAAGAGAGCAAGAAGAGAAGGGAAGGTTGATGAACGAAGGGATGAGGAAGACGGCAGGCAGGGAGACGGATGACGATCGAAAATCAAGATGGGGGAAAAATGAGGCGCCTGGCTGCGTGGTAGCGGTTTGCCGCCTGGCCTCTGGTACGCAGGGGGTACTTTGACCGCCTGCAAGATACGTGTCAATCAGGGGTACACATGCAGTACATCCAACTGGCGCGCTATCACTCGCGCCGGGCCTATAGCGGCTGCTGGTACGGGCCCCCCCTGTAATGCCAGCCTAACACCGCCCAGTGTTATGCGCGGCAACAAAGACCAGGGTCTACGCCGTGCTGCTGATTCGCATGCGCACCGCTTGGCAGCCGCTTCCAATAGAGTCAATTGGGTATGCTCGTCTGTGGGAAAAGCAATGGCCGCTACCACGGGACCAGCGGGCAGATAGAGACCCAACTGCCACGCCGAACAAGGGAAGGAAGAGCAACCACCTCCACTCTACAGACGTCACGTCCGGAAAACAATTGCATGCGCCCGGTGGGCCAATTGCGTGTTCCGAGTTCAGCAATGAGTCACGATCGCAATGGGAAGGCAGCTATGGTAATTAACAGCAGGATGAGTTCCCAAACTCGTTGTTACCGAGGTACCTCTTTGTAAGATAGATTAGATCGACCTAAAATCGAGAACAACAAACAACCGTCCACCTGACCAGCCAAAGAGGAGCTGAGCTAGGGGCAGGCGCACTACTGAACACGCTATCGGCGATTTCGATTGGCGACTGCACGTCACGCTGCGCCTTGCTCATAGCATCACCACATATTTATAATTTGACAGCATATCGCCTACAATGTTGTACTCATATGCAAGATATGCATTTGCATATCGTATATATCTCATATACTGACCCATTTACCCAGCCCCCTCACATAATCGCTTTTTTATGCCGCGATTTTTATTTTTTTTTTGGCCGTAAGTAAGGTTATCCCAAGAGCAAGCATAACACATAATTAGGTAGATACATAGGGTTTTTTATATACAGTTACCAGTCCATACCCAGACCTTCCACAGAATAAAATTTAAAAATAATATACTTTCGACCTGGGCACAGGGATCAACGCCTCAAAAACTCTAACAATAGGAGCCATTCAAGCAGCCAGCTATATAAACCCGGCCGTGGCCATGACTCCTATGAGGGGAAACTCGTCGTCCATTAACAAAACAACCACTTTTCCAAGCTCATCAATCACCAACCACCAACCACCAACCACAATCCTCATCAATCATCAATCACAACCACCTCTTCTCAAACAGCTATAATGTCCAATATAAATATTGCAACCTCTCAGGACCCGGTGAACGCTTCTGACAGACCCTTGAAGCGATAATGACTATCATTCGAGGTAATCCAACATAGCTCTTCGCTGACTAGTATTGCTGCAAGGAGGCCCTCGAGCGATCGGAGGGATGTAGTATGAATGTGCTCAGCGAATAGGTGTATTGGATTACCTCGGATGACAGTTATCATTGCTTCATGGGTCTGTCAGAAGCGTTGACCAGGCCCTGAGAGGTTGGCATATTTATATTTATACAGCGATAGTAATTTTCACTTTTTTGCTAGATTCATAACTATAGGATCTAAATACGTGTGTAATAGTATCCTACGAGGTCTCTGAACATGTTCACAGCCAGAGAATCTTATAATGTATAGACGTAAATATCTGGCAGAAGCCAGCAGAGTATTCAACAAGAGGAAAATCAACCAACTCCACTGCGCCTACCCGGATTTCTCATCATCCTCATGGCAATCGTCATGGTCGAACGGAGTCCAACTTTTCCCCAAACAAAGCAGAAAAAAAAATCGATAGGGGAAAAGAACAGAACGGAACAAATAGCCGCCCAAGAAAGAAAAGGACAAAAACAAACTCCGTACGCTGTTTGATGACAAGTTAAATCCCGAGCCCAATGCGGATAATGATGTCCCAAAGTCTAATAAGAGAGGATATATGTACGAGAAAATTGCTTGGCTCGAATCCAGCGAGGACGGAGGAAGCACAAGTTAAAGAATAGCAAAAGAAAGGAGAAAACAATTGTATCGTAAGATGAGGAAATGTTTCCTAGCCAAGAACTGGCTGCGTAGTCATAGTAACATCCTCGCTAACAGCAGGAGGGAAGACTCCAGGGCCAAAGTCGTCGGCACTAGCATTCACACCCTCTGGAGGAAACTGAAGCCATTGGTCGACATCGAAATCGGCACCAGCAACAGCATTCCAATCGAACTCGTCATGACTTTGCATGAAGTCGAGGTCCATGTGTTCCATCTCACCATTGACCTCATCGGAGCCGCCGCTGGCACTAGGCGTGACACCAACATCAGTGTGTGGTGGAGAGTGACCCGCAGTCATGTCCAGGTCGGCAGCATTGATAGTGTTTGGAGGCATCATCGTCTTCGCTGGCTGAGGCGCCTTCTCATGGAACAGAGACTCGGATGCCGTCATATATGGGACATTGTCGGGTGGCGGTGTCTGAGCGCTGAATTCAACAGGCACCCGCTTCATCATGGCCAGCGTTGACGGGGCGATGTGGGCATTGATATCGATGGCTGCCTTTCGCAGTGCCGCATCCAAAAAGCCAGTGGCATAGTCTGCCGCAGCATAGATATCACGAAGTTTCTCCATCACTCGCATGCACTGGCGGAAGCCATACGTGGCACGCTCCCTAGCATCGGCGACAGGGTTCTTCATCTCCAGCAGATGAATAATCATAGCTGGCAGGATAACAGTAACACCGGTGGTTGGCAAGTAGCGCTCGAGTTTGTGTGTGTGTAATTCGGATGCCATTCGAGTAATGTGCATAGCTGCATCGCGAACTCTCAACCGAGACATCTCTTGGACTTGGCGAGATGTGGTTGGAGTATGAGTAGGCGACGATGGCAAGAACTGAGGGCGATGCAGAGCTGAAATGGTAGTGTAGTAGACCATGTGAAGAAGTGTTCGCTGAACAGCCACTGTAGATTTGCCATTGCCAACCTCTAATGGTGTCAGGGTCCTATATTGGCAACATGTGGGGAGGGACTCGGCCCATGCCATAAGCTCCATATCCACTGTATGAACACCCTCCACGTTGTCCAGCTGCTTATTGGGGAACAGCATCATTGTGCTGTTCGTCGTGTTCTCTGGCTTCATCTTGTCTCTAATCAGGACAGAGTACTGCGCCTTCAGCATGTGGCTGATGCACACACAGAGCTGGGCTTTCGCAATGCACATAATAGCCAGCTCCTTCTGCATGGCGATATCACGCATGAGGACGCAATCCTGAGGGATGACAGTGATGTTGTCTGCGAGGGACTGGATCTCAAAATCCGCCTCTTCAAGCATGGGCACGTCGTAATCTTCGTCCTTTATCCTTGTGGGGCGTCGCATGCCGAGTGCTATGAGGCGATCTCGCATAAAGCAAGACCACCAGATCCGTTTCCAGAGCTTTTGCTTTGACACGCACATAGTCGTGGATCCTGGGTTGCGGTGAAGACCGATGGTGTGGGCCAGAGAAATCGCAACACCCATCCAGTGCCAGGTATCCTTCTGATCATCAGGGGTCTCGTACCAGTACGTCATGAGGAGCAGAGCCTGAACAAGAACGAGTCGATCGAGTTCATAGTCAAAGTCGTAGAGAAGCTAAGAGTGACATGTGTCAATATACGAATGGGTTACAAACAATGTAGGCGCAACTCAAGGTCATGCGGACTTACCCTTGTTTTCTGGAAGAACGATTTACGTGCAGACTTGCGTGAGGGGTAGCCCGCCTCACGCAGGTACTTCATGTCAACGAATGCCGTTGCGGAGAACATGACAGCCTGGTACAAGAACAAGCTAGTCTGGCCGTTGAGTCCGTCTCGGCGGTTGACAATGCTCAGAAACTCATGGATATCCATCAGGGGCATAAATGGATGCACATACTCCACATATGCCTGGAGCAGGGCGTTCTGTAACGGAATAGTGGGAAGGGTGAGAGCACCCTTGAAGTGCAGATAGCTGACATCCTCCGGTGCGACTTTCGAGGGCAGAGGTCGCACAAATGGTGGCAGCTGGGCGTTTGCATCGTGATCCTCCAGGGAACTGAGAAACTGGGCCGTGCGGTTGTCCTCAAAGAGTGCGGTGGCAGCTTGGACTACATTGTTGGCAGGCCACTGAGGAGTCGATTGCTGGCGTGGCTGTTGCTGCGGCAGTTGTGGTAGTGGCAGCTGCTGCTGCTGCGATAAGAGCGGAGACTGAGACTGAGGCTGCGGGGCTCGTGAGGGATTCTCCGTGGCCGGCTGGAGCTTGTTGAGGAGAACGGAGTCATTTCGATATCCGGAGCGTTGGTCTGTACGATGACGTCCAGTTAGCACTGTGTTACCTCCCAATGCAGGCATCAAGCGAGACGCCGAGGATTGCTGGATCACATGCGAAAGGCGGAGAAGCCTGGCTCGCGATGAGATGACGCCAAGCTACCTAGGCGAGTCCAATTGAACCTTGGAGGTTTGTGGTTCGTGGTTGGAGGTGTGGGGTGAGGGCTGGCTGATACCTCGCAGGTGGGGCACAGGCCAATTGGAGAGGCGCCGAAATGCGGAGAATTGTCCTTTTCCATCGAATTCTCCAACAAGCGGCCATCTCCAGCGCCTCCCCACTCCAGCCAATCACACAGCCAGAAACCAAGGGGCAGATGCTTTGGGGTTTCCACTTACAAATGAGATGTGGCACATGACTGTCAACCCCAGACAAGGGCAGGCGTGACACGCTGGATGCATCAGCGTCGCTGGAGGAGATGACAGATCCGCTGCTGGGACGCCTCAAGTCTGCGGCGCTGCTAATCGGCACGGGATGGCTGTGTGCGGTGATCGATTTCGCGCGGAGCACTTGGGGGTCGGCCGTGGCCCCGGACTGCTGCTGCTGTCCCACGCTAGCGGTCAAAAGGTGTTTCCTGGAAAAAGGGGGGTAAAGTTAGCCCAGACAATTCTGAAAATACATTCCATGGCATGTGTGATATCAAGGGTATTTTTGTGCGCTGCGCAGGGCCGTGATCTCTCTTTCCTTGCCCGTTGTAGGGTTGAGGGATAATGCCTGGCAAAGAGATCCCATCGCCAACATGGATCGAAAACCCTGCTGCAGGAGAAAAAAAACCGAGCAAAGTCCGTCAAGAATGACGGCCAAAACAATCGAGTGCGACGAATGCCCACTTTTAGACCGGCACCTCCGGGCCTGGCATCGAGGGAATAATTTGGATTGAAGGGGATTCAACTCACTTCCTTCGACGGCTTTCTTGAACAATGCACTATGAGGGTGGGTTAGCACTCGGCCGGGCCAAAGGAGGCACAAAATCTCTTTGCGGTTCTCCCAATTAAGTGACGCGACGTACTTCAACGTTATCCCAGCGGCAATTGCCGCAGGGGCTCTGCTCAACGACATCGCAGCGAACTTTCCGGGCGCGGCATGACACGCAGGCCATGGCAGCACGGCGCTTTGTCACTTTCTGCGAGCCATTGGCATCCGTAGCAGAAGAATTGGATCGTTTCTTGATCGGTTTATCCATCTTGCTGGCATTTTCAGGTGGGGGTGAGCCGGCGGCCGACATATCTGAGGCGTCCGAAGCCATGGTTCTAGTTGTTCAAAACGTATCGGTCGAGAGAATATACTCGTTGCCAAGTGACGGTCGGAAATTTGAAACTTCCCGTCGAATGATAAATTTAACGTATAGTAATGGAGGGCTGGTTTGTCGTTCCCTGTCGAGCGTATGCTAGAGCGTTTCGATTCAACGGCCGTTTATTGAGATCCGGGAGAGTAAATGAACAAAAATCCAAGGTCCGGGGACAGACAGGTTCGGAATGAGTCGTCGAAAGCTAGAATGAGTACAGAGTGCCAGTAAAGAACTGAGTGGGGAGTTGTCGCGAGGACGGTACAGATGATGACGACTAGGGCATTCGATGAAACCGTGACTGTAGTAGAGACACACTGCCCTGTTGGGATGTGATGACTACTGAGGAAGAGAACCTTCTGGGAGGTCTCGGACCTGGAAAACGAAGCGGCAGACTTGCAACCAGGAGGGGTTCACGATCCAGAAACGAAAGAGAAGTAGAAAAATCCGGGGGTGGATAGGGTGGGGGGGCTGGAGGATTATTATAACAACGCTCTCGTTGGTTTTTGTCGCTTCACGAGACTCTGCCATCCGCACTCGTCACTGCAAGAGTGGGTATCGACGGTACATGCTCTCCCAAGTACTCCACGCAAGACAGGGCCATCGCGACTGGGGCGGACTGCAACCCGTGCGGGTGTACACCCCTACATCCCTACCACAGTCCAGCTCCCAGCATCACCGTGCGGCTTGTACCTATCCGCACACATGCTGGCCGCCCAGTTGGTCGTAGCCAGAACCTGGGCTGTGGGCCTGGGGGCGCTTCCTAATGGCATGTGGATACACGTTAGTGCTAATGGTGTTGTGCCAGTGGTGGGATTGCCTGGTCTGGGCAAGTGTGTATCCAGGGCCAGACCAGCGAGGACCTGGCTGGCGACGAGTGGATGACGGACATGAAGGGCATGGTGCTTAAGCAGGCTCGCTTGGCTTGGCAAGGTATATAGGTACCTTGCCTGTCTCAGTGGGCAGACAAGGCAACGCTCTCGTTCCGGGCTTGGCTGGCTGGCTGGCCGGTGATCAGCCTGCTGATGGCAGCCACGGCTGTGTACAACCGTGATGTAGATATCAGCATCAGACGCGGCCGGCCTTTCTGGAAAAGAGAGTCACATACGGTCAGTCGAGGTATGCTCGGGCCGCCGCTACACAAGAGCAAGCCCTGCAAAATATCTTCTCACCGTATGAAACCATCCACGTACATACCTTCGTAGCCCAGAACTGGGCTGCGGGACCACTTGGAATTTGGAACTCCTATCACACCCCCTTCTGCCCCCCGGTTCAGACTCCTGACTGACTCTTGTTCTTGTCCACTCTGCCCCTCCCGCTTCTCTAGCTTTTTTTTTTCTTCATCAACTTGGGTTTGGGAGGGTGGAATTTGGGTCGCGGCTCCATAAGCTTGCGCTCGATGTTGTGGAGCAGCCAATGACCAGCCTTCAACCCTGGCCTCCTGAGGCTTCCAAGCTCCCTGTCCAGATCGAAGTCGCTGCGAGGCTCCATCTTCGATCCCAATACCTCATGCAAATCTCTTCGTGTCCAATTGACACTGTACGCACAGGCAGTTGCGTTGCGCTAGACAAGTACCCTGATGATTCACCTCTCCACTCCACAATCCTGAGACCTGGACAGCTGTCATGGTTGTAATTCCAGGCCGGAAACCCAAAACTCAAGCTCGGTGAGCGCTCTATGACATCGAGCTCGAATGACAGCGCAACCCTTCGGTCATAAGGAACACAGCCTTATCTGGATTGAATGAACTCATCGGCCTTTGGGGGGGCCAATCATGGTGGTTGCAGGACCACCATTAGGTCGGTAACTCTCGGCTCGGGGGAGAGGGAGCACCAGTGAAAAAGAGTGGAGATTGTTGCTATTGCTACAGTTCTCGAAACTTTTAGGTAGGGCAATGCGGTGTCGCAGACCCCAAGGTCAGGAGTTGAACGCATAAACAAAAGCCCGGCCCGGCCACCCCCAGCACGGTGGCAGCACCTCACCCACTTGGTTCTTGCGTGCTGGCCACGATGGCGGGATGTTTGTTTCCGGCGGGCTATGGAGGATCGGAACGTGGTGATACATGCAAGGCAAAATTTTCCAATCACCGGAACAAGAGCAAAAAAGATGCTAATTAAATCCAGGACCCACGAGCCGGCCAAGGAGAGGGCGGCGGGCGGCGACTATTATTTCGTAATTGCCTCTTCGCCTGCGCTGCATCCAACGGGGTCCCACAATCCAAGAAACAGTTGAGCCAGTCAAATCTTTTCGTCTTAACAAGGCCTTCCGCTTCCTGGAGGGTGCAGCGTGCATGTTCATGCTGGAACCACCGGATCCGATATGGAGCACATCCCGTCTTCCTCCCCAGTTGCAGGGGGCCGTGGAAGGTAGCATGCTCCGGGTGTATGCGCAGGTATATTATGGATATTGTAGGTATCTGTCTGCAATTCTGACTGCATCGGCGATGGACGAATGCCTGGATAGGATTGGCTGTACTTAATATTCGGGCCCGGGCACCAGACCTGCGTGGTTCAGCCATGTTAGCTGGCGTTCGTGACCGCCCTTCCCTAGAGCTGCAGCGAACACGAAATTCCAGGTGAGTTCCACCGGAAGCTGACGTAATGCCGGATATACGATTCTATAACGATCCGATACTATGGGACCTCGAGCGCAACTCGACCTCGAGGGCTATCCGCCAGCAAACGGCCTCCAGATGCAACGCGCCAACCAAAGCCAACGGGCGACCTGCCACTCACACCGAACCTGCCCCTGGTGCGCAGCAAGAATTAACCGGTGGACCTCCCGCTCACACACTGTCGCGTTCTGGAGGGAGGGATGTGCACCATGGTTCAGCTTCTCCATGGGGTCTCCACGCAGAGGCCTTGGCATTCTTACTCCGATCGGTAGCCGTTCGGCACTCCGACGCTTTGCCTCAGAAAGCTCTCGGATATAAACTGGCGGCCCGTCCATCTCCACCTCCATGACAACTGGTACAAGCCTCAGCATGTACCTTGTTGCAAGGGGTTTGATGCTGTAATTAAGTGCTGCTGCTGTCCAGATGCGTAATTAACTGGGAGCTCGCTGCTACCTCGAGAGGGCGTGGCAGAGTAGATGTCCCCCCTCCTCATCATGACATCCTGCGAACTGAAGCGAGGGCAGTTCTTCCCGACCTACACCCGTAGTTTGAGATCGACCCTATTTCTTCCACCTTCGAACCCGGAACGTTTTAAGTCACTGTTCGTCTATTTCCCACCTCCAAGCCATCTTATACAAGGCAATGCCCTGCTCGGATTTCTTTTCCGGCCTCATTCGAGGATCCCTCCATGGTATCCTCGACCATGGCCCCACCTCGGATCAGGCCCGAAGTCAAACGACCTATTTCTAATTGCCGTCGCCCAGTATGTATATGTCGATGGTTCGTCAATCAGGCTCCTGTCTAAGCGAAGCATGGAGCCTTTGGTGGCTTGAATCTTCCCGCCTTGGACTCGTGCTTCTTCAGCATAAGAGTCGATGGGGACCCCACCAGCACTGCACCAAATGGTGGCTTTGCTGAACCTGCACTATATACAGGAACTCATCGCTCATCTTGCTACTGCTATGTACCCTATGGGATGATTGCATGTTCTCAGGCGCATGTTCGCACCTTTCCAATGCCTTGGCTCTTGCAGATGGAAAGAACCACCAGAAGCTCGCACACTGTTAATGCCACGCAACTTCCCCCGGGTCCTACCTCCAAGTGAGCATATCAGGACGGGGAAGGTGCAATGGAGGTTATATCGGAATGAGCCTTGGCCGTTATTGCCAAGCCACAGTCAAGAAGTGACCCAGGCTACAGAGCGGCATTGCTCAAGACTGCAGCCTTTTCCCGCTTCGCCATCCACGAGCTTAACACGGAACATGGCAAACAAGAGAGGTCTCGTCGGGTATAGGTGGATATCGAAGAAAGGACGAAAGGCTTCTGCCATCCTGCCCGAGGCATATTCCCCGCCCTTGGTCCCTTCCTCCAATTTCACCCGGCGAAGGCTCGGCTCCCCCCCTCAGCTCAGTCTCCATCGCGGGGGCGGGAGGAACCAGTCTATGGGAGGAGTCACGAAATGGCCCTGCTTTCATGGTTGACTAACATGGCCTACTCGATCAACGCAACCCTCAATTTCCCTTCCTTCCTCTGGGAAGTTGGAGCCACCACCGGATGGAAACGGCTCGCAATACATCTGCAGCCAAATAGCCAAACAGACAGGCTGGGAACGAAGCACCCCAACCATGCAATACGGCATTGAGCAAGTATTGTAGCCGGCCAACTTCGCGGAAGCATTCCGAAGCAGCGGGCGGGCAGGCGGGACGCAACCTTTCCACTGTAGAGCTGAGCTGAGTGTATGCTCACCCACCCAAAGTACGGCAAACCCCGCATCTTTACGGCCAACGGGCATCACCAACGTTACAAGTGGTCAGGAGGAAAGAGACGGAAATCATACGGCATAAGGGTTCTATTGGCATCACATGTCTATTAGGCCCATGCTGGAAAAATATGTCCCAAGAAGGCGCCAGAAAAAAAATTAAACCGGGTGGCCAAAAGACCACCACCAACCAACTGCCCATGGTCAACAAGGACAGACGGGCACTCTCGCCCAATTTTCAACCCCTCGCGGGTACGCATGGAGACCAGGGCCTCAATCAACCAGGTTGATGCCCACAAGTCTCCTCATTCCCCCTTACCCCACTCCGATGCCTGAACAAGCACCCCGCTACTCCCCGCACACCTCCATGTTGAGGTTACAGCAGGTGGAATTGAGGTACCTGACCAAGTTTACAGCTGGCTCTTGGTTGCCTCAAAGGATTGAGGGTCATACACATGTTGCTTGATGTATGCATCCAAAGCAACATCACCCCACTCTTCCCACTCGACCCATTGCTCCTCGGGGAGCTCTGATACGCCGTCCCTTCGGGCGGCCTTCATGGTCTCGCGTGCAACCACCAAGCTTGCC